TAGGGTTTTAGGGTTTTAGAGCTTTAGGATTTTAGGGTTTTAGAGCTTAAGGGGTTTAGGGGTTTAGGGGTTAAGGGTTTCAGGGGGTTTAGGGGTTTAGGGGTTTGGGGGTTTGAGGGGTTTAGGGGTTTACGGGTTTAGGGTTGAAGGTTGAGGGTTTCGGGTTTAGGGTTGAGGGTTTAGAGCTGGGGGCCTAAATAATAAGACTGGGGCTCCATTTTAAAGTGCTACGCCAATGCATTCTCTTTTGAGGTTCTTGAAAAAAGGCTCTTTGAGGGTTAAGCTCCAAAAAAGGGGCCTCGTGTGGTCAAGAATAGGGTTTTGGAAGGGTTCTAGACCCTATACCCTAAACCCTAAACCTTGAACTCTAGAAGGAACTTACAAGGTTTTGCTCAGGGTTCCATAATAGGGCGGCTAAAAGGGCTACTGTACGAGTTTTAACCCAGAGGCCCTGATAAGTAGAATAGCGCTTGAATGACGTCTTATAGAGTTCTATAGGGTCCGTATGATAGAGGGACAGTATTAATCAGACTATATCTTATAGAGTTCTATAGAGTCGAACCCTAAGCCCAAAGCCCTGAACCCTACACCCTAAACCCTAAACCCATATGATAGGGGCACTGCGAATCAGAATAGGGTTGCGCAAGCGGGCGTTGAGGGTTTATGGCGGGTTCGATAAGGGGTTTTATAGGGTATCACCGGATTTCGCATGCAGTAGCCTCGACAGTTACAATTGGAGTTTAGGGTTTAAGGTTTGGGGTTTAGGGGTTACAGTATGATTATACAAGAGCTACCATGGAGAAAACCTCGGGACGAGAACATCAACCCTAAACCCTAATTGTTCAGGCCCTTCTCTTCTGTGCGGAGCAAGCGTCTGCTTCGTTTCTTCGCCGAACTGCACCTGGGAGGGTGGTTCGCAGATACCCTCGCACCCGAAACCGTGTGCACCAAAACTCCCCCAACCCTAAACAGAGTTGAGGGTTTAGGGTTAACCCTAAACCCTAAACCCTTAAAAACAGTCTCACACCCAATCTTTTTGGGAACCCTGACATTGACCTCAGCTCCCTGCCTCACCCGGCAAGCTTTTCTGCATCATCCTCTCAGGGCTCCATGTGGGAAATTTCAGGGCTTGGGGGTTCAGAACTGAGGGCTTCAAAAATCCTGTGGCACTGGGTTCTCGGAACTTGCATACAGCATAAGTCTTAGCACTCTTAGTGCGATTCTGCTTAGGGTTCTGATTAGTCTTGTCACCAGTGTTTTACAGCATAAGTCTTAACACTCTTAGTGTTCTGATTCTGCTTATACTTCTGAGTAGTCTTGTCACTCCTATTCTTACTATCACCGCTGCTATGCTGGTGTTGGCACTTTTTCGAACTGAATAGAAGGCCCCTGGGTCTTCGCAATCCGCGAGAATCAAGTCTGAAGACCCAGAAACCAAAGCAGCCATAGCATCGCATCATAGGGTTTAGGGTTTAGGGTTTAGGGTTTAGGATGTAGCATCGACAAGCATAGTCTAATACATGATAGTACAGTCTTTACCTAGCCCCTTAATCAGAAAAAGCCCCTGACCACGGGGCACAGTCCTTGCGGCCATGTTCATTGTGTCCCCAAAAAGGCGGAAGCGAGGAAGCCTGACGGCACAAGGCCACGCCGAGCTTGGCGTCCAGACTTGGAAACGCCCAGAGCGCCCAATGCCCCTTAATGAAGGAGTATATACCTTAAATCATAATATTAGGGCCACTATAATTTAAGGATATTCCTTATTTAAGGGGTATTGGGCTCTCTGGGCGATTGTTGCTGTTGTGACCCGTCTTCGGACGGGGCCTGAATCATGAGTGTTGCTGATCTTTAAGCTAAGAAGTGTCACCAGGGGACAACTTGACATCTCGAGCTCTTTCGAAGCTGCAACCGGATGAGGAATCATCAAAGATCGGTAAAGAGTCAACCCTAAACCCGAAACCCATAAACCCTAAACCATACGCGCCCGAGCACTCACTCCCCGGGACCCTCTGCAACCTGGAACCCCCGATGGAACGAGTGCAAAAGCCTGGAAACCCATAGAGCATCACATAATATAGGGGCCTTAATAATTAGAGTAGGGTTTAGGGTATATTATACTATAATTATAATAAGGAACCACCCAAAACCCTATTCCAATTATTAAGGCCCCTATCTTAGATATCAAATCCTGGGAAGGAACCCCGTGCAACTTCTTACATCATGACAAGAACCCCTGGACCCTGAACCCCCCCCTGTTCTTCCGAAGCCCTAATACTGAGACCCTTTCAAAAACACGATTCCTGACACAATTAGGTGCCACGGCTTCCCCTCTATTTCGGCGCTGCGGGGCCTGCGGCCAACGACCCCAGCAACCACCGGCCCGGTGTGAATGCCCATCTTGACCTGCACAGAGAGCCAGCGCTCTAAACTTATGGGTACTATAACCTAGACCCAGAGAACCCAATACCCCTTAATTAAGGAATCTACCTTAAATCAAACCAGAATAATAAGGCCCCAATAATTTAAGGTCTATTCCTTATTAAAGGGGTATTGGGCTCTCTGGGGAAGTGTAGTTCGAGAAATTAGCGTCCTTTGCAGGGCTCCTTTAAAAAGGGATCTATGAGGGCTGGT